TGTGTGTGTGTGTGTGTGTGTGTGTGTGTGTGTGTGTGTGTGTGTGTCACGCGGGAGGGGGGTCTTCTTCCATCCACTCCCCGCTTGTTACACACACACAGACCTGACTCCCCACTCCTCCTGTGACATACAAACACGCACACACACCCACAGTCACTCTTCCGGCTGCCCTTCTTGGAACACACGCATTGATACACACACGCGCATACACAGAGAGAGATGGGACTCCCCACTGTTTCCCCCCCTCCCCCCCCCCCACACCCACACACCCACAGGATGGGTTCAAGGGTACTCTTTCTGCTACCCTCTTGGCACACACGCACTGATAGACACACACACACACATACACATGCGGGACAGCGTTGACGGTCTTCCCACTGTCCTCTTGGCACACAGGCATTGATACACGTCCAGGCACACCGTGTGCGAGCACACATTGGGCTCCCTACCTCCCCCCCCCCCCCCCCCCCCGGCGCACACACACACACACACAGACACACGCACAGGACTCTGCTTCCCGCTGTCCTTTTGATGCACACACACACACTAGCTACAAAGAGAGATGGGGCTCACACACACACACAGCACACATCTGATCTCTTCTTCCTACTTCCCCTCACCTCTCTCTCTCTCTCTCTCTCTCTCACACACACACACACACAGACACACACACATACATACACACAGAGCTCACTTTGCTTTCGGGAATCTCTTAACTTCTTGTAACCAAGTCCTGTGGAACTCCCAGCCACCAGATTCGCATCAGGAGGAGTGGGGGAGGGGGAAGCATGAGCTCTGAAGTGCTCTCAGCCAGTCTGACTCTGTGGTCCAAGTTATGGTCTTCGGAATCCCTCGGTCTAGTCTAAGCCAGAGGTCTCCAAACTTGGCAAGTTTAAGACTTGTGGAAGTCTACAAAAGTCTTAAAGTGGCCAAGTTTGGAGACCCCTGACCTAAGCTTTGCTTGCTAACCAACATTGGTGGGATCCCAAGAATGGAGGGATTTGGGAGGGGGCAGTCTCGGTCCAAAATTGAGAAGAAGGGGAGGGGGGCTTATGAAATGAAGGTGAGCGGATGGCTAGCTTAGAGATTCCGGGAGTTGAAGTCCGCAAGTCTTAAAAAGTTTTTGTACTGTCCAAAGGAGAAAAAACTTGGGCTGATTTCATCCACTTTTATTTAAGTGTGTTCGTAGGATCACAGAATCGAAAAGCTAGAAAGAACACACACACACACACACACACACACACACACACACACACGAAGGTCATCTATTCTAGACCACCCTCTGACACTTAGGGTTAAACCAGCATTTCTGATTAACAGAGGAATTTTATTCCGGCTGATCCAGGATGTGAGCAAGATGCGACCTGGGTGTACAACGGAGCATAATCACACCCCAGCATTTTATCTTAATCTGAACTCAACCTGTGTTCTATTTAACAACATTTTGCATCCTTATAATAATCTAAGGAATCAACTGAGACCGGACAAAAGAGATTTTAAACCTCTGAGGTCTATTTTAATTGAAATTCCAGAATCCACCATTTAAACAAATAAACTTAGGCCATATAAGCAGAATTTAAGAGAAATTCTCTTGAATTTCTCTTGAGCATGTGGTGAATTCTGGAATTTGCAAACCTAGATAGATGAACTCATTCATCCTTCTATTACACACCGAATTTCTCCTGATTTCCACTCTTCCAAGTATTTAGAGTTTAACTGCATTATTTGGGGTGATTAGATGACCACTAAGGTGATTTCTAACCCTTATATTCTAAGACGTGATGAACCATCACATCTGGAAACAACTGCCAAGTAGTTGATGCTTAATAAAGTAGCAAACAATTAGGATTCAAGTACTAACAAAGGAGAATATTTGTAGCTCGGAGTTAAAACGAGTGGTCCTTTGGTGATCTCTGAGCTTGGTTGGTTTCTTGCAGACGTTTCATTACCGAACTAAGTAACACCATTCGTGTCTCGAGGGAAAACGGCATTTATGAAAGACTACCTTTGGTGGTCAGTAGTGTTCTGTATCTGGAGGCAAAACAATTGCTGTGTTTACACAACGCTCTTAACTTGGTGTGTTCACACAGCATATTGGATCATAAACTAACCAAGCAGGCAGATTTCATATAACACGCTAAACCACAACAGGGAAATACGTGGTGAGGTTAACTCTAATCAAGCTTTGTATGTTGCATAAATAAAGAGGTCTTTAGCTCGCCAAGTTAAGCATAGTGTGAGTTAACACAGTATTAAATTCTTTATTGTTTGAGACTATTTAACGTAATTCTAGTTGTATGTATAATAATAATAATAATAATAATAATAATAATAATAATAATAATAATAATAATAATAATAATAATATTGTACATCTTAAGAAGGTACTTAGTTGATACCTAGGACACTGGCAGCAACCTGCAGCAACCATTAGCACCAGTCAATGGTATTCGTGATGCATTTTTGAATGTTCAGTTGACTTGAGTTTCATGTTTAATGAATAAAGTATATCATAATAATTTAACACCCTCAAACAATAACATCTACCTATCCCCAGTCCTTGGGCAGGACTCGGGTGGATAAAAAGCCCCAATCCAATCTAAACATCTGGTTGACTGAGCGACAAACTATAATTTATTAAATATTGATACTGCCTGAATATCAACAATTCTATTAGTTATCGATTTATGTGCCCCATTCTGGGTTGGGTATCATTTCTCCCAATCTTAAACAAATGGACTATATTTGCACTTTCAAACAAAAATAGAGCTATTTTTTTTCTTCCTGTTCTGGAAAATGATTTTTTCAAAGAAAAGGGGATCATTATATATATGTTTAGATCTATTTTTTTTTCTTTTCCTGCCCTTAAAGTGTCTTTTTGAGACTGCAGGCAATCATAGAAAGATCACCAAAATGATTAGTAATTATTGATAGCTGGATCCTCCTGGGTTTTACTTCTTCCAGGTTGTTAGGCTGTTAACTATCTTGTGGCCATGAGTTTCACAGTTCAATATCTCAGTGTGAAAAGCGCGCAAAATCTCCCATGATTCGGTCTTATTGGACAATCTGGGGTGCACATATTCTCCATTCCCCATGTGATAGATAATTTTATCCATGTTTTAATCCCTTTTCTTCACTTTCTCTTTATGGAACCGATTGTGGGAAGGCGCTATTTCTAAACCAAATCTGCATTGTAGCCACTTTAGACAACGTAATTTGGCTTTCGGTATTAAGCAAGACAATATGGAAAATGAATTTAAGAGCTTTTTAAAAAAAGAAATATTTTTACGCTCCAATGTTTATTGTCTCCGAGCCATTTCTTGTTCTTTAAATGCTTGATGGGATTGTAGTGAAATTAACTCGCTGTAAAGTATGTTATTTTTTTCCCCCTCTCTTTCTTTCTCTCTCTCTTTAAAGTGGAACTTGGCTCACTTTATAGGGTTTGAAAAATGTCCAAATTGCAATCTCACAGTTTCTGGAAAATGTTCCCTAAACAACGCACCCTTTGATGTAGTGAGTCACAATTTGGAAGTTGTACACCTTTAAAAAAACCAGTTTGCCAACCCTGTCACGGACTTCACAAGTTACGGTTGCGTGAAACAAGCATACATTTTTTTGAATGCAATATTTAGGATGATGGAATAAGGACACCATGTTTTCTTTTTTTAATTTAATTTAATTCCCCCCTATCTTTATTATTTTTTACAAATAACTCAAGACAGCAGACACAACTTCCTATTCCTATTTTCTCCACAATAACAACCCTTGAGATGGATTGGGTTGAGAAAAAAATGACCGACCCAAAGTCACCCAGCCAGCTCACTTGCCTAAGGCAGAACTAGAACTCACTGTCTCCTGGCAATTGGCCCAAAGTCACCCAACTGGCTTGCATGTATAAAGTGAGACTAGAACTCACACTCTCCTGGCGATAGACCCAAAGTCATCGAGCCAGCTTTTGTGCCTAAGATAGGACAAGAACTCACTGTCTCCAGGTGATTGGCACTCAAAGTTATCCAGCCAGCTTTTATACTGAAGATGGGATTAGAACTCATGGTCGCCTTGTTTCTCTCCTGGTGCCTTAACTGCTAGACCAAACTGCCTCTCTTTATGCATCCTTATTGGGAAACTAGCAAATGGGCCTTAGTTTAAAAGACACCTCCACACCTACATTCGAAATATTATCATACCTTAAAGAGAGAGAGAGAGAGAGATTTAGTTGGAGATGCTCAGGAATCACAATTAGTTAATTGTGCATTTAATTAGAACCGGATTGCAATCTGTTAAAAATATCGGTGGGATCCTAACCTTATTAGCTGCTAAGATTCTCCCCAAATTATCATTTTGCTATTATGTCGGGTAATCCTGGACTTACGGACCACAATGGACTCCCCGAATTTCTGTAGCTAAGCGAAACATGTGTTAAGTGAGTTTTGCCACAGTTTACGACCTTCCTTGCCACCGTTGTTAAATGAATGACTGCAGTGGTTAAGTTATTGACGCGCCTGTGAAGTGAATCTGGCTTCTCCCTTTGACTTTGCTTGTCAGTAGGTCGCAAAACCTCATGGCATGACCCCGGGACACTGCCACCGTCATAAATATGAACCAGTTGCCAAGCGCCCGAATTTGGATCACGGCGAGGCTGCGACAGTCGTTAAGTGTGAAAAATGCTCACCAGCCCCTTTTTTCCCCCAGTGCCATTGTCACTTTGAATGGCCGCTAAATGAACCATTGTAAGTCTAGGACACCTGGGTCTACTAGACCCTGATGTAAAAATCTTAGCCGAGCGTGGAAATTCTTCGGAGGTCTGCATCAGGATTTGGGGGTCCCTGCGGAGGGGACACAGGGACCCCCACAAAAAAATTGCTGAGATGGTTATCGCCCCTGCTCTGTTGTAGCCTTGTCCCCTTTTTGGTATGCATCGCAAATGTGTTGCAAATGTTTTTTCTAATGGTTTTGTCCCCCATGGTTGCAGCTACCATCATGACTTTTCTTAAAGAATAGAATAGAATAGAATAGAATAGAATAGCAGAGTTGAAAGGGACCTTGGAGGTCTTCTAGTCCAACCCCCTGCTTAGGCAGGAAACCCTATACCACTTCAGACAAATGTTTATCCAATCTCTTCTTAAAAACTTCCAGTGTTGGAGCATTTACAACTTCTGGAGGCAAATTGTTCCACTGATTCATCGTTCTGTCTGTTCTAGATTACTTCTCTTCTTGATTAGTTTCCACCCATTGCTTCTTGTCCTACTGTCAGGTGCTTTGGAGAATAGCTTGACTCCCTCTTCTTTGGGGCAGCCCCTCAAATATGGGAAGATTGCTATCCTGTCTCCCCTAGTCCTTCTTTTCATAAGACATAGCCAGTTCCTGCAACCGTTCTTGATATGTTTCAGCCTCCAATCCCCTAATCATCTTGGTTGCTCTTCTCTGCACCCTTTCTAGAGTCTCGACATCTTTACTTGATCATGATTTTAGGGACACCCACCTCAACCTTTTACCCCTCCCTGCCGAGACTTAGTCCTTTAAACTCCTTCCCAAAGCGATACGCAGATCGTCCTCGACTTAACCAGCATTTAACGTCCATTCGAAGTTACCACAGCGCTGACAAAAGCGACTTAACAGCTGCTTCCTCGTACTTACAACTAGTGCAGCCTTCCTGTTTATTTTTATTTATTTATTTGTTTGATTTATACTGCCGCCTATTCGCCCCTGGCGACACGAGGCAGCTGACACAATGTAAAAACCATATTTAAAACAAAAAATAAAAATAAAATATTATTATTGTAAAGCTTACAGAAGCAAGAATAAACATAAGTTTAAATACAAGAAATAGGAACTAATAATTGGGGACAATAGGACAGAGACGGTAGGCACGGTTGTGCGCTTATGCACGCCCCTTACAGACCTCTTAGGAATGGGGTGAGGTCACTAGAGGTTAGTTTGAGTGTAAAGGAGTCGGGGTTTGAGCAGGTGACAACAGAATCAGGTCACACGATCAAAATTTCAGGCACTTGGCAACCCGGTTTGTATTCACAACATTTTGCAGGTCTTAAGATCGTGTGAGTGTGTGTGTATATGTCATTTTCCACCTTCCCAGCCGGCTTCCAACAAGCAAAGTCAACAAGATTTGCTTCACAACATCATGATTCTCTTTAACAACTTGCAGTGATTTGCTTAACAATCGTGGCCAAAACAAAGGTCATAAACCTGGCCTTAATTTACTTCCACAACCGCCTCACTTAGCAATGGAAATTCTACTCCCGACGGCTGTCGTAAATTGAGGACTAACCTGTATGGATTATATACATATATATTTTGGTCAGGATCTTCGCATGCCTCAGTCACGTGTGAGCGATCTTGTCAGTTTTTTTCTGTGAAAGCCTTGGAAGGGTTGGCCGTTGGTGCGACAGCAGCAGCTTTAGTTTAGTTTAGTTTAGTTTTAGTTTATTTTATTTTATTTGAAATCAAACACCATCTTCTGTGCCACATCATGACCATGAAAATAAACACAAACACTGGTGCTTCACACTCCACACATTGAACCGAAAACCCCTGACACCGCACCATCTTCAGAATAATAGAATGAGAGAGTTGGAAGGGTCTAATCAACAAACGCAGGGGAGAACCAGTCTGGAACGAAGGAGAAATTTCCTGACATTGACAACAATCAATCATTAGAATACCTTGCCTTCAGGAATTGTCGGTGCTCCAACATCAGAGGTTTTGAAGAAGAGACTGCACAGCCTTTTGCCCAGAATTGTACACTGTCTTCTGTTGAGCAGTTGAGTGTATTAGATTCAAAGACCTCCAAGGTCTTTTCCAACCCTACATAACAGACTAACAGAGTTGAAAGGGACCCTGGAGGTCTTCTAGTCCAACCCCCTGCACAAGCAGGAAACCCGATACCATTTAGGACAAACGGTTCTTGAAAACTTCCAGTGTTGGAGCATCCACAGCTTCTGGAGGTAAGTAGTTCCAATGGTTAATTGTTCTACTATTAACTGTCAGGAAATTCCTCCTTGGTTCTAGGTTGCTTCTCTCCTTGATTAGTTTCCACCCGTTGCTTCTTGTCCTGCCTTCAGGTGCTTTTGCAGAATAGATTGACTCCCTCTTCTTTGGGGCAGCCCCAAAGACTGCAATCATGCCACCCCGAGTCCTTCTTTTCATTAAAGTGGACCTATCCGATTCCTGCGACCGTCCGTCCTGTGTCTTATCGTGCCCTCTCTTTTTCTCTTTCGGACCTCCCCAGGCCAGGCGTGGAAAGCCCTGAGCACCACCGACAAGCGCCCCTTCGTGGAGGAGGCCGAGATGCTCAGGATCCAGCACCTGCAGGACCACCCCAATTACAAGTACCGTCCCCGCCGGAAGAAGCAGGCCAAGAAAATCAAGAGGATGGAACCAAGCATCCTTCTCCACAACCTGCCACAGCCCTGCGGCGAGAATTTCTCCATGGGCCACCGCGGGGCCTCCAGTGGCATCAGCCACTCCCAGCCTCCGCCACTGAACCACTTCCGGGAACTGCGCTCCATGGGGTCGGAGATGGAGAACTACGGCCTCCCGACCCCGGAGATGTCCCCTCTGGATGTCCTAGAACAGGCGGAGCCTGCCTTTTTCCCGCCTCACATGCAGGATGACTGCAATGTCATGTCCTTTCGCGGGTACCACCCACCTCCTCCTCCTCCTCCGCCACCGCCGATGGAGTTTTCCCCGGAAAAAAACCTGGGGAGGAACATGGTCATGGGGTACCCCCCCAACCCGCCCTCCCACCTGGCCGAAGCCATGAGGACTCCTCACCCGTCTGGGATGTACTACAACCAGATGTGCGCCGCGGGAGCCGCCAACGGGCTGTCGGCCCACCTGGGCCAGCTCTCCCCTCCTCCTGAATCGCACCAGCTGGATGGCGTGGAGCACTTGAACCCCAACGAGCTGTGGACAGAAGTGGACCGCAACGAGTTCGACCAGTATTTGAATATGAGCAGGACTCGTCCGGATCCTTCGGGCTTCGCCTACCACGTTTCCATGTCCAAAGTGACTCCGCGGAGCTGTGAGGACAACAGCCTCATCTCCGCCTTGTCTGATGCGAGCAGCGCTGTTTATTACAGCACCTGTATCACCGGGTAAACATCGAATTGAGGGAGAGGTTTGGGGCAGCCCCCACAAGCTGGGGTGGGGGGGCGGGAACCGCTGTCTCCTCAGGGGCGCTGGGAAATTCGAGCGGACGGGACATGCTCTGGATGGCTGCCGTTTGGTTTCCCGGGACTCCTTGGGGTAAGCTAGGACAGCGAATCCAGTATGAATAGGAAAGGAGATTGGGGCGCAGACGTATAAGTAGCCCTTGAGTTACAACCACTTATTTAGCGTCCATCCCGACGGCACTGCAAAAAAAGGTGACTCAGGACTGGTCCTCACACTTATGACTGTCGTAGCATTCCCTACCCCCGTCATGTGATCGCGTGGCAAGTGGCATGTATTTAACTGCCACTGTTTGCAACCTTCCCCTCCAGCTCCTGACAACAAAGTCAATGGGGCAAGTTGGATTTGTTTAATGACCACTCGAATCACTTAACAGCTGCAGGGATTCACTAACCGCTAGGGCAAAAAAAAAAAAAAAAAAGGCCGTATAATCGGGAGTGATTTGCTTACTGCTGCCTTGTTTAACAATGGAAATCTTGGCCTCCCTTGTGGTTGTAAGTCGAGGATTACCTGCGTCCGTTTAGATCAGGGCTTCCCA